CTGAAGGGAAAGTACAGTAGAATGCAGAAGAAGAAATTTCAACACACTTCAGCAATAAAAAAAGACACACAAATGTTCATCTAGAGTAATTTGTACTTATTAGTACGGTTGAACTGGATCATCGAAGGTCAGAAGCTAATAGAATAGGATTAAATACATAAAGGATATTTGTGTTGTTTAACATTTAATTATTGCAGGTTTGCGTCATATTCTGAGTTGCATTATTTTTATTCATTTTGAGGAATACTGAATCTGTGGAGTTTTGTTTTTTTGTGAGTGAGATGAATTAATGCATATTCATATTTATTTTAGCACTACAGTAACATCTGATTTCTCTCAACATGGGGACAGGAGAGCTGTCAGTTAATAAATTGACTCACAGTTAATACAAACCAATACAAGAACAGCTGACCATAACCTAACCCTGCTGTTCAATGATCAATGAGCTGATCACAGCACAGATTCTTTGATTTCTCATAATATCTCAATAGTTTCCCAACACACAGTATTTCAGTGAGCTCACTTTATAATTAACTTTTATCATGTCAATTATAGACATTTATCAGGACCTGTAAATGTAATTCTTTGCAAATAAACACCTTAAACACACAAGCACACTATAAACACGTCGTAAGCTTGTGAAAGTGTGGATCTGTAGCTCAATACATGCGTCCAGATGAGAGTTTGTTCACAGGCCGTGATGAAGGTCAGATGTTATCCGTCCGGAGAAATCATAAAGTTGCCTTCCTCTGAAACTCCAGCAGTGAATGAAGAATAAAGAGGAGGCGCTGATGCACGCTGCGATTGAGACGCTCAAGGACACAGGCTTTATCAGCACATATTATCCAGCTTTGAGACGGCTTACAGACTGGTTATGGTTCATCATGAACTGAGTGAGAGAACAGGTACACAGTATTTGACTTTATTAATAAAAGATAAAACCTCATGAATAATAAAAGATAAAAAATCATGAATGATGTTCTAGCATTGTAAAACCTAATAAAAGGCTGTAAATCTCTTAAGAGCAGCTCAATTAAACCAGTACACAATAAAAATAGTTAATAATGAAACTAGGTCAACATTAGTTTAGCATGATGCATTTCTTTCTTCTGATTTTGAGCTCTCGACGGGCTTCTTGAGATTCTGCTGCGGTGTAACATCTCACGTTTCTGTCCCTATTGACCCAGACAGGCTTTAGAATAATCTCGTAGCTCATGAAGATGAATCAGACACAACGAGCTGTGAGGAGAGGCTTTAATTCTATTTTGCATCATTTATGCCTATACAGAGCCAAAATAGCAACTATCCCAGAATTAATTTTAATGGCATCACAGAACACAGCAATTACGTTGATGACATCACAACGGTCACATGACCACGCCCTCTTTTCTTGCTGAAAGACTGTTATCTACGCTTTGCTTGTCTACAGCAGCTAAAAGAGCATCTGGTCTGATAAAAACATGCTAAAGACGAAGTGAAAACATTAAAGCCAGAGTAATGAGAGCTGGCACAGACTGCACTGTCTGCAGACTCATAGTGATGTGATGTAATGAAGGCCGGATCCTGTGTGATGATGGGGCTCGGTGATGATGAATCCCGGCAGCAGACCGGCTCGCTCTTCCTCCATCAGAACCCCCGCCTCTTCACGGCCGCGCTCAGAATCACCAGCTCCAGTTTTAGGGCCGAAGACCCAGTCTGAGGAGAGACGATGAAAACCGTTCACATGAAAATGTGCCAGAACACACACTGCTTATATTATAAGACACAACCATCCATCAGTCATCCTCAGTGTGAGAGGACGCATCTCAAATATCATACGCTCACTGTTGTGAAGAGCTCAGCTGTGCAGAAGATTTTCCTGAAGAACAGCGGGCGGTTTAATGATCAGGACAAGCAGAGACTCGTGAACAACCGCCACAAAACACACAAACAGGAAGATACAGACATCAGAAGAACTGAGAGCATGGAAACGTGGACTACGTCTCAGTGTCTGTGACGTGAAAGCTTCATCACGACAGGACTATGATTTATTTTTAAATGACAGTGCCGGCCATTCACACAAGATGTGCAAATCGCAGAGCTGCTGTTTCTGTTGTCCATTTTGAGCACAGATTAAGAGTCAGAAAGGTGACGCACATCTGAGTCTGAACCCAAATGATGTCCAACAAAACAAAGGCTTACAGGAGAAAACTGCAGAAACACGACACAACGGCAGGGATGCGGGAAGAACAACACGCCACCGCTGACGATACCTGCCAGGTCATGAAGCAGGTCAACGATCAGGTGACCCACAATCGCATACGTGACCAGAACCAGCAGCAGCAGTCCCACAGTGATGTACAGCACATGCGGCGGCACAGAGATGGAGTCTCGCGCCGGAGGTCTGACCCGTGAGACTGCAGCAAACGCTGAGAACCCGCGGCCCACGAGAGCCTCTCCTCTGCAGAACCAGACGAGGAGGAGAGGAGAGAGTCCATGCTGACTGACAGCGTCTGTCCCGGAGCCGATCTGAACTTTCAACATTCAACACTCCTGCTAACCAACAAATCTGCTGTTCAGAAAATGAGAACGAGAGAGAGAGAGAGACATATAGGGCAGCACACTTAATTACAGCTCACGACATAAAGAAATAAAGAAGGTTTTAAAGTTTTCTAATCACAAACAATATCTGCCTGGATTACAGGGGAACGATTGAGCCGCAGAGAACGAGGAGATTAAGCCTGTTTTAATCAAATCCTGAATCCACCAGCGTGTGTTCCAGCACACCGAACATTCCCCAGATTAGGAGAACCACGTCCAGAGATTCCCATCTAATCCAGCAAAGGAGAGAATAATGGGCAGGTAGGACCGTGTCACACTTCACGCCACAGACGCTACAGTAATGTAGAACTGAGAGAAACCTGCAACTCAAACGCACTTCTTACCTTGACACTTAATTTCTTTGTGCACATGATGTGAGACTAAAGTCCTCATGCTACCGAGCTGTGCCGCTCTGTCTACTCCGGACACACTTCATCTGGATCCTCTGAATTTAACCTCATCAGCTCATATAAGAGAAAGGTCCACTCCACGACTGTGATGCTGATGTTGAGCACGACGATCAAAACCATGAGCCAGTGCAACATGCTGGTGTTCTGTGGTGTCTCTGCGCGAGATGCTGTCCTGCTATAATCCACTGATCACACTTGAAAATGCTGTCATATGCATCTCCAAAACTAATCCAACTGTTTATCTAATAAGCCTTCAGCTCAGATCCCATCTGCACTGCTTACAAGCCCCCCCTGGACCCCCAGCAGCTCAGTCTCTTCTGATGAGCTGAATCAGGTGTTAGATGCGGGACACACAACTCCTGCAGCGCTGGACCGTCTCCGAGCAGAACCTCACATGGGATGCTTTTCATGCTTCACCTGTTATTTCATTTCTTCTCTCAGGTGAAATAAAGCGACACGACCAGCAACTCTTTCTTAGAAAACGGCCATCTGTGTCTCTGTGACAAACGTTATTTGACTCTTTTTAGTGTGTGATGCAAAGAAATGCATTCATGTTTTCATTAGATCATCAGACAATTAGCATGTCTCCATTCATCATATAAAAATGCTTAAGTGTATTTGAGAAAATACAGTACTGACTGTAATAATGTGTCCTCAACCTCTCAAATATTCTGAATATAACCGCTGCACAAGGGTTTCAAAGAGAAGGGTTAAAAATATTTTCCTGCAATTACAATGTAGTGCTGAAGGTTTAATAACTAAATATAAGAGTTTGAGAAAAGCCCATTAAGAAGCCGTATTTATTTACTGTTAATCTGACAGTTGATGAACTGTAGTGAAATGACTGAAAAAAGGCACCACTTCCTACTGGGCAAGTTGTTTCTTCAAGAAATATCCTATCTAAAGAGTTAAAAAAAACAATAAACAATCTATGCATATAGTAGTGATTATATAAGTGAGGGAAAGTTGGAATACATTGAACCGTGAGGCTGTTTTCCTCTTACCTGTAAATGAACAAACGCTCCACAATTCCCAAACGGTGCGTCTGTTACAGAACAAAAGAAAAAAGAGCTGACAGAAAACTTCAAACTGCAGGGGAAGCTCTGTAGCTGCAGGCGTCTGACGCAGAGGAGACTCTCTATGAAGCTGCGTGAGATCTGCATGCTGACGACTCTACGCCGGAGACACGGCCGCCGCGGCTCTGGCCTCCTCCGTCTCGGCCTCTTTGAAGAAGACCTCCGACATCAAGAAGGTCCAGAAGATGATGCTCATGGTCGTGTTGACGATGACCATGAAGATCATGAGCGGGTGCAGCATGCTGGCGGTGGATGAGCTTTGGCTGAACAGGAGCGTGTGGCGAGCGTCAGTCTCTCCAGAGACGCAGATAATCTGGCTGTAATGAGTGACCGCAGACAGAGTTTCAACACTCAGCCTCACCACATATGATCCCAGCAGAACATATGATCACTGTGACTGGACGCTCATCTACAGGTCCTACAGTATATCTTCGAGAACTTCAAATGACCCTTGACCTGAATACACCCGTCTTCCCTGATATTATCTCAAGACAACAGGAGATATAATCCTCAACCTAATCTTGTGCCAGATTTCACTGCTTATTCTTAATCTAAACCCTCAGAGACAGATGGCATGTTATGATGAGCACTGTTAAAGGGATGGTTCACCCAGAAATGACCATCCTGTCGTCGTTTACGGTCCGCTCAAACCCGTGTCATGTTTGGAAGGCGAAAGAAGATATTTTGAAGAACAACGGAAACGACAACGGACCCCATTGACTTTTCTTGTATGGACAAAAACATGACACCAACAAACATCAATTCAAACATCAGGCAGGATATGATCATAATGAGAGGCAACATTACTGTTTATGTTTAATGATTTAAAAGAATGCCAGTGAATGATTATTAAAACACATCCATACAGCATTAGAAAGCACAGTACAAAGATGTGACGTTCACAGTCTTTATGAAGAAGAACATTTCTTTCAGACTTATCTGTATCTTCAGGATCTTTCCTCTTCACTAAAGTCTCTTTTCTTCATGATGTTTGAGTCTCAGTGTGTTTGATTCAGCTGCTGATGTATGAATAAGTTCTGCTCAGTTTCACACAGGTGTAGAGAATCACATTAACTAACAACACCATCCACTAACTCACCGGTTCCCAACCGTTCCTGGAGCCCAGCTCTGCACGATTCATTTCAGGTCTTGGAGTAGGCTTGTTCGAGACTCATCGGAAGCACCGCCAGAGCGATTCAAAAGCATAAAGAGCCGCCTGCTCTCCAATCGCTCTCGCGGTGCTTTGTTGTCACACGCCGATGCGTCTCGAACAAGCCTACTGTCTGCTAATGAGCTGATGATCACTGCACTAACTAACCCACAAACACACTACTGACAGCAGCTCAGAGCCGTGTGTCTTTCTGTACAGTTCATTACTCTCGCTGTGATGTTCTGCATTCAGATGTGACTGAAGTGAACAGATGAGATCAAGTTCTGGAAAAGACAGCACAAAACAGAGGAGGAGAAGAGCCAAAGCACTGCAGCGCTCAAGGACGGCAGGCTGTTCACAGACACGCTCGATGTCTCTGTCTCAGCAGGCCAGCGTCCGCTGCTGGTTCTCCTGCTGCAGGAAGTACTGGCAGAACAGCGCTCGGACTTCCTCTCCGTCGTGGTCATCAGAGGCGGGTGACACCTCGTCTGCGGGCTGTGGACTCTCCTCGTGACGCACCGCCTCCTCCCAGTGCTCGATGAACTCGTCTCCGTGCACCTCGCACACATTGTGCAGCACGCAGCAGGCCAGGATCATGGTGGGAATCACGTCCATGCGGCAGTCGTTCCTCTTCAGCAGACACTGCCAGCGCGCTCGGAGCCGCAGGAAGGCCTCGTCCACCACGCCGCGCGCCCGCTCCAGCTTACGGTTAAACGCTCTCTGAGCATCCGAGAGCGCGCCGGACTCCGGGAAGCTCTTCAGCAGCCAGCTCTTCAGAGGGTATCCGGCGTCTCCCAGCATCAGATATCCCAGCGGCCGGCCCATGAAGTCCAGCGGCGGCTCGTGCAGCAGGAACCCGTCGCAGCCGCGTGCCCACAGCGTGGAGTTCTGCAGGATGGCCGAGTGCTCGGTGCTGCCCGGGAAGCCGGCACACACGTCCCAGAACTGCCCCAGCCCGTTCACAGCGCCCTGAGTGACCACCGACAGCCAGCCGCGGCTGTTCCAGTAGCTGTGCGTGTTGCTGGATGGAGCGATGATGGGCACGTGGAGGCTGCCGACCGCTCCCACGCAGTGAGGGAAGCCCCAGCGCGAGGCGAAGAGTCGTGCAGCATCCTCCAGCTCCTGCTCGCTCGGGGAGCGTAGGTACAGCGGCCGCAGCAGCAGCACGATGGCATGACACACGTCTCGCACACACTTGCAGACGGTGGAACGGCCCACGCCAAACAGAGCGCTGATGGTGCGGTACTCCACGTTAGAGGCCAGACGCCACAGAGCCACGGCCACACGCTTCTCCAGCGGCAGCGCCGGACGCAGACGGGTGTCCTGACGGCTCAGCCGCGGCTTCAGCTTTCCGCACAGCAGGAAGAACGTCTCTTTAGTCATGCGGAACTTCTCCAGCCAATCGGAGGGCTGGAACTCCCTCATGACCACACGCTCCCACCAATCGGTGCTCTCGATGCTGCTCCAGACCCTCGTGGGGCGCGCCGGTGGGCCACCGACCGGACGAGACGTTTGAGCAATCATCATCTGCGAGAGGAAAACAGCTCTGTTAGGGTCACCTGCGCAGTTCAGGAGTGTAGAGAATGTCTCGTATTCAGATTATATGAAGTATTAAAAGTTCATAGAATTTTTGCAGTAATGAGCAAAATGAAGTATTTTCTTAAATATAAATTTAAACACAATATTAAAGGGATGGTTGATTGTGTTTATGGGGTGCAGTCTAACATGTGTTGATGCATTATTTTTCACATAATTTACCTTTATTCTACACAGCTCTGTCCCTTCTCTGATAAACACTCTCATGATTTCCTGTTATTATGAAGCCCCTCCCTCAGGGGCGTAACTTTGCAGATATTGTCTATGTTCAAACAGCAACTTTACACACTAACTACAGTTAAAGTTAAATCACAATCAACCACCCCTTTAAAAAATCTGAAGCTTGTAGATGTCATAAATAAATGTAGATTTAGTTTCTTAACTTTTTTATACTGTGGACAGCTCAACGTGCTGCAAATGAAAAAACATGCAAATAGAATAAAACCCATCCAAATTAAGAAAACATCTTCATCAGTTTGACAGCACAACACGACCAAATACAGAAACGCACTGCAAATACTCACAGACCGCATCGGAAAAGTTTAAGGGAACTGCAACAAACAGTTCCCTTAATGTTACTGACCACAACATTCTTTTGAATAGACTAGAAAACTTTGTTGGCATTAATGGAAGTGCATTAGCATGGTTCAAATCGTACTTATCTGACCGCCATCAATTCGTAGCAGTGAATGAAGAGGTATCACATCGATCACAAGTGCAGTATGGAGTACCTCAAGGCTCAGTACTAGGGCCGTTACTCTTCACGCTTTACATGTTACCCTTGGGAGATATCATCAGGAAACACGGTGTTAGCTTTCACTGTTATGCTGATGATACTCAGCTCTATATTTCTACGCAGCCCGGCGAAACATACCAATTTGAAAAACTAACGCTAATACTATTAACGCTAACGTTAATAGTTGAAAAACTATTTGAATGCATAGTCGATATAAAAAACTGGATGACGAGTAATTTCTTACGGCTAAATCCTGAAAAAACAGAGGTGTTAATTACTGAATTACTGACAGCCCTGATATATATATATATATATATATATATATATATTAATTT